TCGTGTACAATTCAAACAGAATGTATCTGCAGCTATACATGTCTCTCAGCAAAAAGATTCAAGAATAGACACTTGAACACACATGAGCTAATAAGAACTACCAAAAATTTAAGAATCTATCTTTGGGAAAAACAAATCTGACATTCATTTGATTTTTTACTTGTCCCATCCTATCTATACTGCAGTCAGCCACCAGGAAGTGATCAAGATGTTTTAGCTTCACTTTGCATCACCGTCATGTCGTCGACTTTTATATGGGGTTTATGTCTCTGACTGAGACATCAAACAATAGCAAGTACTCAACACATTTAGGTGCTTCAGAGTTCCTATCAATGGCTGCAATTTTAAAAAGTTATCATGTATTTGATCAAAGAAGCACAGAGGATATTCTGCTTTCCTCCTACAAGTTAAAGTAAAAGGCATTAGATCTTATTTACAGTACATTAAATACACACATTTTCCTCCATTCTTAACTGACCTAAAGTCCCTGGAGATTACTATATCTTTAAATGCTAATTTTATACACAGTCATAGGCAGAGCTGAGCCTGTTAGTCAAAAACATATGCCTCGACTGCATGGGTGTTCAGGAGCTCAGCCACCCACAGGCAATTGTAAGCACCCAGGGGGCAATCATACTGTGAGGTGACCACATTGTAATGCTGTCCAATTAAAATAATAGTTATAAATGCATCCATCCATGATTTATACCTGATTATCCTCTGCAGGGTTGTGGGGAGCTGAAGCATCTCCTGGCTGCCAGTCATTTTCAGGGCTAACACACATAAGACAGACAATCATTCACACTCACATTCATACCTACAGGTGGTTTAAAGTCAGCGATGAACCTAACCTGCATGTCTGTGGACCGTGGGAGTATTTGCACAGTCTGTTGGCTTTATATAGACATTCATATGTCTTGTCAAGCCTGTTGTTTCCCTTTCTCCATGAGCACCCGATACAAGATTCTGATCTACGTTTGTATACGCAGAGCAATCAGTCATCTCACTCTTTTGCTAGACATTCATATGTCTTGCTCTCAAAGTAGTATGACTGGTTGCTTGACCAGAAAGTCATACCAGCCCATTAAGGTCCATTCCAATAAACATAACTTTTCGTCATTGTTTTCTTATTGTTTAGATTTTTGATTACTGGCATCTGGCTCCACCCAAATGCACAAATTCATTTGACTGGATGTCTACAAGCCAATTACAGTGTTTTACATCACCTAAATTGGACTACATTAGAGCCACACCCCCTTTTTCACCAAGCATGGCCAACTGTAAGGCAAGGAGGAAGAAAAAGGCCCATTTTAATCTATTAATCATACTGTTAATGTTCATAATTGATGTTCAAACAGTTTTTTAAACATGAAATGTTATATTACTTACACATGTCAAAAAATAATACGAAGATTAATTGCTTTTACTCAGGATTTAATAAAAAAAACTAGAATTACTGCCTCACGGTTGTATGTGTCCGCACACCAGTCAAGTTGCACATACAGTTGTCTGTGAAAACATGGATGCTTCACACCCATCTCCTCCTGACAGCACAGATGATCATTACAATCAGCACAGTTTCAAGATGAGGCCCCAAGATTAGTGTCACCAACTCAGTATCTGACCAAATGTCTCCCCTTCTGTCCCTGAGATATGATACATCATAATGTAAGTGGTGTTCTAATGTTAAACTGGAATAATTGCTTTGCAATTGTATACCTCTGTGAATGCATCAAGGATATAAAATACAATCACTTTATCATTATATCCTATCACACAGTTGCATGAAATTGTGTCACAATTTGTGTATGAATTTTTGAGTTGAGGCCAAAAACACGTTTTGTGAGGTCATAGTGACTTTCAAATTCTAATTGGTTATTCTTGAGTCAAAAAGGATGTTTGTGCTAAATTTGAGGTAACTCCCTCAAGAAATTCTTGAGATATTGTGTTCAAAAGAATAAGTTGGACGCAAGGTTACAATGAGCATTAACCACCACATTCTAATCACTTCACTGTCAAGTCTAAGGGGGCGTTTGGGTCAAATTTAAAGAAATTTCCTCAAGGCGTACTTGAGATATTGCATTCACAAGAGTGAGGCAGAACAGGTCACACTGGCCTTGACTTCGAACACCTTCAGATGTTCTTCAGATATCATGTTCATGAGAATGGGACCGATTTGCAGACAGACAGATGCACAACACAAAAACATAATGCCTCCAGCCACCGCTATCGCCTGCACAGAGGCATAAAAATCCATCCACTGGAATGGACGGGGTATGTGAGTGCCACTAAAAAATGAATGGGGAATTACGCATTCAAATAAGGAAATACTTTTCTGATTTAGTTTTCTACTGACACAATCAGATTATAATGCATCTTTTTGATTATTTACACTTATGTACTTCAGAAAATCAGGATGACAGATTCAATACAAAATATATATGCAATGTATTTCAAAGCATCACTTTATTCATTTATACGAGTTTACCAATTAATGAAAATGAATCACGTAATGTTCTGTTGAAAAGAGGTCTGTTAAGACTAATTTTGTGTAATTTCTACTATTAGGTGTTTTCTGGACTCAGATTCTCCATCTATTGGAATGGACAGAAAAAAGAACACATATATTAAAGTATATTAGTCTAAAAAGAAATTGCTAATGATTTATGAGTGTATCTAGAGTAGAAATCCACCATTACAATATTTTTGTGTTTGGAACATGTTTACATGTTTTCAAGTCTGTCTCATAGTGGACAATATCCACGTCTTATGTACATTTTATATGTTTTTGCTCACTTAAGTCATTCCTCTTGTCCATATGGGCTGTGGAATGGTTCATATCTAAGAGATGGAGGTCAAAATCCAATTCTATCAATGTACATGTATGCGAGCATTTTATTGAAATGAAAATGGAACATATCCTTTGACTTGTTAATCTAATGTAATATCATGTAAGTATGATCAGAAAGGGGTGTTGGCTAACACTTTAACTGACAACCTAACACAGCAGTCGTGGCAGCTAGCTGCCTTTGAGGCAGTGTAACCTTGTGGAATACGATGCTGTTAAATGTACTCTGACTCAAGCCTAAAGACTTCCTTCAGGAGCTCCTGCTGAGCAGCTGACACTCCCTGATGTTGGCAAGCACTGACCTGGAAAAGCTCAAAACCACCACACACACAGTGGGAGCTCAATGAGCACTACGGCATCTGTATGAGGTGACCAGCACACAATGCCACTTCCATCCATTTTACCAGCATGACCTCACACGAAAACATGTCAAAGCGACATGACATCCATCAAAAATGGCCGAAGGATATACACTTTTAGGGAGTGAATAAAGACAAAGCTTAAAAGCTTAGAAAGTGTGAAGCGTGAAGGTTAGAGGAGACTGTTGAAACACTTCCATTTCTTTTTTTCTTTTTTTAAAGACAGAATAAAACCAAGCATGATGAATGATATACTACTACTATCTTATTTCTTAATAATTATGTTTTCTAATTACTGTTTAAATTCAATAGGGAAAGTCATATTTCATAATGTGTGAACTGCTAATCCTTTAAGATTAAGATACAAAGACATGACATAACTTACACTAAGGTACATACATTTTCCCTAAATTTGAGGTTGTGCATCGTTTCTCAACCTTAATCAAAGACATGATGTCTAATGTACATGGCTGTCAGCACTGTCAAGGGTAAATATTACAGTTTTAAACCAAACAATAACAAAGAAGTAAAGACTGGGTTAATTTGGGCCTGTAGCTACATCTCCATTATCAAAGAACCATTTTCTAAATGAGGAGTGCACAGTAGAAAACGAGATCTTCAAGTTGCTGCTCCTTTCCCAATAAAAAAGTGGCTGTGTATAGAAATGTGAAATGAAACAGTGTTTGAACACTCAGCGACACTTAAACAGACTGCGTTGGCCAATGTGGGCTCCTGTTAGTGGGTATGTTTTGGCTACGTACTGTCTGTACTGTCTTTTAGTTTAGTATTTGGGACAGTCCATTTTGTATGTGAGGAAAAAATTCTGTCTAGGGATGCACCGATATGGACTTTTAATTAACTGCTTCTCATGGCTGATAATTGATAAGATAACGTAGGCGTATAACCTGTAGTTTATGTACACCTGAGGGTAAGACAGGCTAAGATGTGGTGAGAAAATATGGATGATATAATATTCCATGGCCCTGACCTAACCAAATCAAACTGGTATCACTATTGCTAACACAAGAAAAGCAAACAACAGTTCTGGCTCCTCCATACTGGCCAACATTAGGCTGTGAAAAAGAGGGTATTGGTAAGTAGCCTATCCTCAATGCTCCTGCCCCCTTATAATCCTACACTACAGATGAACATAATAAATACAAGGATGTGAAGTAAAATGACTTTAAATCAGTATTAAATTTATAGTTAACGGTAAGAGAGAGGGACAAAATGAAGTCCAGTGGTTAGAGCACGCGCCCCATGTACAAGGCTGTTGCCGCAGCGGCCTGGGTTCGACTCCAGCCCGTGGCCCTTTGCTGCATGTCACTCCCTCTCTCTCTCCCCCTTTCACGCTTGTCTGTCTTATCCATTAAAGGCTAAAATGCCCCAAAAAAATATCTAAAAAAAAAATAATAATAATAATGAGGTCCAGTGTGTAATTCTGTGGTGTATCAGCAAAGTGTATAAACTACACTGCAGAGTGGAGTCTCTACTAACAGAGGCAAGCAGAGACAGCTGACTTGGCAGGTCCGCATTACATCTGCTGTATAAAATGTTTCTATCATCATGCTGCATTTTTAAAAAAAAAAAACACACCCAGGATGTCAAAATACATGTTCAGAGCCTTTCTGTGTTCCATAAAAACATGAGAAAACAGGGTCCATTAGTTTCCCTTTAACAGACATATAATCACCAGTGTTTCCCCTACCATTATATTATTAATAAGGATGACAAATACTTACCAAGGAAAGTATAAACACAGAAAATATTTTAAAAAATAAAAGAATGGTTACCGTGACAATGAGCAGGATTCCTTTCAGCAGGGTAAGCAGTGAAGTGATTGGCTGGATGACTGTGTGGGCCAGTAAGATAGCAAGAGTTAGAATCCAAGTGAAGGCTGGGATCACATAGATATGTCTGTGGAAAAAACACACAAGCAGTTGCACATTTAAATGAAAATGAAAAATAATGTAAAATAAAGGACACACTTCTGTCTGGACCCAGTAGAGCCTTCCCCACATGTAGTAAATGATGGTGACTGCAGACACAGAGAACCTTTTTTTTTTTTTTTTCCCCTCTAACATCCCTGTCACCTGCACGATCTTCATCAACAAACAGTAAACATTACCTGACTGCTAAATATGAACACAAGCAGTAAGTGTTCGTGACCAAGATGTGGGAAAAATAAAGGCTGCTACTCTGTAACCTTGGTGAGGAAATACCTTCTCCAAACTGTGGTCCAAATTACAGCCACCCTCCAAAACAAAACCTGCCTGCTGCTCTCATTAACAAAGGCAGCATCTGGTGTGCTCACAGTTAGGCTTGAAAACACATCAATATGACTGTTGAACAGTTTGAACATGTATTATTAACAAAACTGTCAACAATACAAACACTCATCTTTCTCTTAACCTCATATGGAGAGCCAGTATTGAGGATGTAATGCATGTAGTGCACATCATGTGCCACCAGAGGTCAATCTCTACTCGTGGAACAGGCAGCTTAGCTGAGAAACATGGCCAGTCAGTGGTGGGGATAACATTACAGGACTATAACGTTGGCCAGTGACACCAGAGAGTGACTGCATGGAAAAAGGGCATATTTTCTGATCCTACTCTGTGAATTAAGGGTTTATTTTAAGCAAAGCAGAGTTGTTGATTGTTGGAACAGTGGACTGACTAACTATCAAGACTAAGATGGTTTTGGTGAAGTGTATTTTCCTTCTGTCAAATTTGAATGAAGTGTGTTTTACAATGCGTTAACAAGGCTAATTAAGCTAATGCTAGTTTTAGTTTGATGAAAGAGAGAAACTTGAATTCACAAGGTGTACGGTTGTATTTCTCTGTTTAATGAAGAAAATAAGTGTAAGAATACTACCGTTCTTGACATTTTGTGAGTTTATATTATTTATTAGACTGAAAAAATTAAGAGAGCGTTTGGAATGTAACAACCTTTCTTGCTGGTGTGGGTGTGTGCAGGCAAGGGTAAGGTAGAAAAATCTGCATTTCCTGTTTTAACAAAGGCGTGACATGGCCGACTCTCCCTCACTTTGCCTAGTACTCATTGACTTCATTGGTTGGATTGGTTATGTTTAGACAAGAGGACTGAGATTGGTTAGGACTCAAAATGGCAAAGTAGGGCATCTCATGCCTTTGCTATCCTAGGGAATGCAAAGTTGCAGTAGGTAGTGTCACACAGAAATAAGGTCATATACCAAATACACTGACAAATTTCATAAAGGTATGAAAAAATAGATACTGCCAAAGGCTAATAATTTATTTGCACATAAAACAACAATTCACCAGAGATTCAGTCACAGAGTCAGTGCATTTATTCCAGTACCATACTTAAGAACAATTTTGAAATACATGCACTTCACTTGATTTTTTTTCATTAGATGCTTCATACTTCTACTCCACTGCATTCAAAAGGCAAGTTTTACATCTTGATGTTGCTGCTTGTACTGAATCTGTGTACTTATTCCCACAGTGAGCAAACCGCAGGTTCGGAGGCCACATGCTGGATTAGCACTTGTTTTAAATGAGTTTGAATTACATTACGTGTTTCTATTCAGTACTGACTCTTGGCTGTTTCCTCTCCTAACCTGTTGTAGTAGAATTTCAAGTGGCCTGAATTCATGAATCAAGGCTCAGAGTGCAAAGAGGGCATATTGTGCAGGGTCCATATAAAGTAGTGAAAAAATATCTTATTATACTGCACATTATCTGTCTGCAGGCAGCCAATGTGTGGATGTGCATGTGCTTTTGCTTGTATATAGTATGATATGAAATGCATGATATGTGTAGGTGTATATTGCACATCTGGCTATGGCCATTTTCACACTTTCATAATATATGGTTCTGTAATCTTTGCCCATAAATTTGGTATAAAGGACAAAGCATCCAGGTAGACATAAAAATCCCCAAAACAGGACACTGCAAACCTGCTCCTTCTCTTATTTATGCTCTGCAGCGTGCACGTTGTGGTGGTACTGAGTGCGGTGCATAACAAACCCTATGTTTGCTGTTTTCAGCAGGATAGCCCCAGTAAACTCTGCCCATGTTGATATTCAGTCCTGCAGATGCAATAAAAATAGCTGAATATTTCTGACTGTTTTCCTTCTACAATTATAAAGACAATTCTGCTTGAAGAATCTGGGCAAACACATGAAGCCACATATTGTGTGTCTTCTCTTTGTAAGCCGTCTTCCAATGAATATAATGAATATGTTTGAATATTTTCTTTTGGAATCCATGATAAAGCCTGTACTAGTGTGTAAAGATATATTGGCAAATTTTAGTTTGATTGAAAAGTAATGTATTTATTCTTATTGGCTTACAAATTATAGTATGTTACATTGTTATAGTTTTTATGCCTCGGCACCACAGATAGCCGTGGTTGGAGGCATTATTATATTTTTGGGTTGCCTGTCCGTCTGTCTCTCCATCCGTCTGTCCATCGTCCCATTCTCCTGAACGTGATATCTCAAGAAATGAAATTTCTTCAAATTTGGCAAATGTCAACTTGGACCTAATTATGAACTGATCCCATTTTGGTGGCCATAGGTCAAAGGTCCAGGTTACTGTGACCCCATCTGTCTCATCTAGTGAATGCAATATCTCTAGAACATCCTGAGAGAATTTTGTTCAAATTTGGCACAAATGTCCACTTGGACTCAACGATGAACTGATTAGATGTTGGTGGTCAAAGATCAAGGTCACTGTGACCTTGCATCTATCTCATTTCATAAAGACAATATCTTCAGAGGACCTTGAGGGAATTTCCTCAAATTCCTCAAAAGCAAAAGGTCCACTTGGACTCAAGGATGAACTAATTAGAATTTGATGGTTGAAGGTCAAAGGTCAAAGTCACTGTTACCTTACAAACATGTTTTTGGCCTTAACTCAGGAATTCTTACACTAATTATATCTGTGAAGCATACATGTTTTTACTGACATGAAAAAACTGTAAGTGCTACTTGATGCCTTTGCAAAGACAAACAACTGCAAAGAGGTAATTCAAGCTTAACATTTGAATGCCACTTAAATTATAATGTAATAATTTACAAAATGTTCTGTTATACACAAAATGTGTGTTATCGCCTCAACAGTTTAATACATAATTGATTATTATTATTCATTATTATGTCAAACTGATTATCAGGAGTAATAACTGCTACAAATGGGTATTACCTCCGCCAAGGAGGTTATGTTTTCGCCAGCGTTGGTCTGTTTGTCTGTTTATTTGTCTGCAAAATAACTCAAAAAGTTCTGAACGGATTTTGATGAAATTTTCAGGAAAGGTTGATAATGGGACAAGGAACAGATGACAATATTTTGGTGGTGATCGGTTGAAGCGAAGTGGATAAAATAATAAAATGGCGGGAAATCCGAGCTGCTTGGCAGAGGTCTCCGCTCTCCGAGTGCTTTTCTAGTTTGTATATAAGTTGAAACAATCAAAATAAGCAATAAAATAAACAAAAATATGGTCAACTGTGATAATTATTATCAGGAGTAAGATTATAAGATTTAACTTCACCAGCTGCAGAGACAAGGGTAAGCTTGTATTCATTTTAATTAAACACATGAGATTAAACTTCTTAATAGTTTTAGATAGTACTCTAATTCTCTAATATTCTAAGCTTGATAGAAAATGAGCACTTTTTAAACCCCAAACTCTGCTGAAGGAATATTAAGAGACAATAATCTGGTCCCTAGGTTGAAACTGAATCTCAGTAATGCTTTAAACCTTGTAGAGCTCTGAGGGGCTTGTTTCCAAGACACCCACTATCCTCCAGCAGTGGGACTGAGAGGAGACTTTTTGTGCAGAGACCTGTAGTAACCTATTGATTGCTGCCCTTAGGGAGGGGGAATAAGGTGGTTTATCCAAAGGAGGATGCCCAAGGTTTTTTCACTCCAGTAACCCTGCCTTCCCACTCCCACAACGCATCACAGCATCTCCCCTGGCACTGAGCAGGCTGATAATGAAGCACCCAGGCGACCCACAGAGTTTGAATAATATTATTTGCGTTAAGTATTTACTGGGGCGTGACAAAATAAATTAGTCCTCTTAACTGATAAAAGTAATTATAGGCTTGGGAGAGGAGGTGTGGGAGAGACAACGATCACTTGACGGCTCGACAGCTAACGGTGCTGCATTGATTCTAGATTCAGGAACTTGAGAGTGCTGTAGGAGTTAGGCAACAACACCAGTATGATATCACACTACTCAGTTTGAACAAATTTAGTTTACAAACAGTAACATTTAGCTTCTTTTGTTATACACAGCATTATCCTTTATATTGTTCTAATGACTTGGGGGGATGGGGATCATCTTCATGATAAAAGACACCAGAGTTGGCGCAGACAATTCATGGCAACTTGAATTCATCCTAAAACAAGAGTCAGCTGTTAAACACGAGTCATTTAAAGTGTTCTGGTGTGGACAATCTATTTCCCACATATGATAAAGGTTTTGAAATTATATAGGCTAAAGGATATAGTGTGTAGAATTACATTTGTCATGCAGTCCCACTGTGTGATAGAAGATACTTAAACTTGTACTCTACTGTCATTCCAAGAAATAAATAAAAATATCACCGGTGTTGAAGAAGTTAGGTGAAAATGTTATCAATTATGAATTACACTTTATGGATTGAAAAAGTATTTCCTTACCAATAACTCAACGACAATTGAAATTAGCTGCCTTTAAAGCTACAGTCTGTAACTTTTATAAAAATCAATTTTGTCATACAGTATTTACTGAAACTGTCACTATATTCTGGAAGAAGTAAATGAGACAGATTATCTGTGACACTAGAATTACATCAGGTTGCAGCCAGGTTGCAAAGTTACAGTTTACATCCATGTCTGCAAAAAAAAAAAAAAAAAAAAAAAAAAAAAAAAGTGGATCCTTCACACACATCTTCTCCCAGCAGCACAGGAGATCTATACAATCAGGTTTCAAGGTGGACACCCAAGATCAGTATCACCAATTCAGCATCTGACTAAATGTCTCTCCTTCTGTTCTTGAGATATGTCGCTTAGTTGTGGCCAGAAACGTGTTTTTGCAGAACATTATGATGACACAGTGAAGTTCATTTTTCACCTTTTGGATATAAAATGTCATCACTTCATTTTTATATTCCTATTAGACTGTGTGGATTTTGTCAAAATTAGCATATAAATTATTGAGTTATGAACAAAAACATGTTTTCTGAGGTCCCGGTGACCTTTGACCCCCAAATTCTAATCACTTCATTCTTGGATCCTTGTGGACGTTTGTGCGAAAGTTAAGAAAACTCCCTTAAGGCCTTCTTGATATACCGCAAGAATTACAAGAATGAGATAGTTAAGGTCACAGTGACCTTGACCTTTGAGCACCAAAATCTAATCAGTTCATCATTGAGTCCAAGTGAATGTTTGTGCGAAGAAATTCCCTCGAGGTGTCCTAAAAGAGGACCTATTATACTCATTTTCGGGCCTTTGTATTTGATTTCTGGACTCCTATAGAGCAGCTACACACGATTACCTGCACACAAAGCTTTGTAGATCCTCAGGACGCTGTGCCTCTCTCCGCACTGCTTCCTTGTATTTCCTGCATCCCGCGAAAACAGTCTGTGTAATTTACTCCACCCCCCCCAGCCCTCGCCTCCCACCGAGCCCACACCGCTGTGATTGGTCACACTCCCGAGGACTTCCGAAGGGCTGCTGAGCGCTGCCAGCATGCCTGGGCATGCCCATATAAGTAAGTCCGGCACGCATTAACGTCACACGGACTACGCTGTTTAAATAAAGACCATAAAACACAGCGTGCAGAGCCATCCAAAACAGCTTGCAGGGCTCACTTCCAAATGCACGAACCTCATTATTTGACGTGTTGGCATCGTTTAACACAAGTATGCAACATTGTAACAACATTTATAGGTCAGAAAAGAGGAAAAGCATAATAGTTCTCCTTTAACTAAAATTCAAAGAGGTCCAGTTAGAGGAAATTTCCTAAAGCAGAGGTCCGTAACATCATAATGTCTAACTCGCTCTATTATTCAGTGTGATATATACTGAAGTAGCTTAGCAGTTGTATCAACGTCTGCATGTAATTCACATCTGACTGTCAAATCAAATGAAGTACGATTCAAAAACATTTCGGCAATATTTATTGTCACTCAATATTGAACTACAGATATGAACTTAAAAATTAAATGGAGAAAATAAATGAAATAGTTTTTGAAAATCTGTGTATCTTAAAATAAAGTGCTTAATTTTAGAAAAAAATAAAATAAAGTGTAGCAACAGCTTGAATTTTCCTTTTTCTTTGTTAACTGTTTCACATCTTGACTGAACAGTCTGAACCAATTTTACAATAAATAAATAACAATTGAACAGTTTTACAGTTTCTCTGTCTTTCCCTCTTTTCCCACTCTCCCCACTTTTTGTTGTTCAGTGAGAGAAGTGAGCTTGAGCTTGTCCTGCCAGGGTTTTACATCTCATACACATGTGCAGGTGCATACGATATTTAGTTTTTATTATGTTAATTGTGGAGAAAGCTGTCTCGCAGCCGTATGTGGAGCCAAACAAGATGTACAGGGCTACTTTCCTCAGACCTGGGAAAGCTTCCTGTTTCTCTGCCTGTCTCTGGCCTCTTCCTCTGTTTCTCTCTGTCCCTCGCTCACTCGCCTCTTCCTCTCCATCTTCTCTCCCTGTATTGCTTTCTTCCTTTTTCCATATTTCTATCCTTCTATATTTCTATCTTTCTATTTTTCTTTTGTCTTTCCGCTTGTCACTTGCCTCTCACATCTCTCATCTAATTGTATACAGTCGCAATGTTAATCGCCTAGAATGCAGAGATATGATTGGCTGGATGGCATCACGTGGGATGGCTTAACTCCCATGCAATTGGTCTGTGCTTTTCCTGATCAGCTAAACCGGTGCTGTAAAGACTAGAAAAGTTAAAAGTTAAAATAGAAGCATCCCATCAAAATTTTTAATCCCTTAATAATTTACTGGTTATAGGTCTGGGTCCGTATAGGACGACATCTGAGTCCGGACTCGGACTGCGGTCCACCTGTCAGTGACTAAGGTCCTAGAGGGACGCTGCCCCCTGACTGAGTCAGGCTCGAGCGAGCCGCTATGCTTCCACCGTGCGTAAACAGACAGCTGCAATACACCAATATGGCACCCCTCTCAGCTGTTTCACTCCTTATTGTCAAGCAGAAGAAACAGCGTTTAGCTATCCTCAAGAGGGACCCGTAAAGGCCAGCTCTCCAACATAAACGAAGGTAAGTGGACAAAATGAATGCTGAACTCCTCTCTCTTTTCTTTCTGCTCTCACTTCAACTCCGACAGGTGGAAATCAATGAATCAGTGGGTGCAAACGCAAGGTGGGGCATTTATAGCCTGGCGCATGCTGACCACGCAAAGTGGTGTGTCTTAAAGATAATTCATTTTCCACGTCAATTTCCCCAGATGGGGATAATTCCCATTGTTATGGTATAACTACTGAGATAATCTCCATACGATAGAGAACTTCTGAAAAATAATCTGAAAAAACACAATAATTTAATTTATTTTCAGAGAAACATGAGGGCATTTACAAACACTCATACTCATGGCATCAATTAGGCCAGTTTACTCACTTGAAAGTAGTGGCCACAGAGTAAAGTGAAGTGAGTGACAGATAAGAAGGCTTCCAGCTAATTATTTTGTATTCATTAGTAGAGATTCAAATTTCAGTCTAGGGTCATCCAACAGAACTTAAAAATAATACATAAAACCTTATCATCAGAAAATGGAATATTTTTGCCTGCGGAAACATCTCTACTGTGTGTGTGTTTGTTTGCTCTAATTAAAATGAATGCTGTAAGTTCATGCAATGCTTTCAGAGCCTCCCACTCCAGTGGGCAGCTATCATCTCTCAGGATTGCATCAGGTTTTTCACTAAAAAGATTTTATTGTGAGATCGTGAAGCCTTAAGCAACACTTCCCTGAACTGACAATTCACTTTCAACTTTTTCATTTCTTGAGAAATGAAAGTGGAATTGATGGAGGGTCAGACTGGTGTGGGAGAAGGTTCTTGTTAATAATCACTCTTTCCTCCATACGACAGTCTGAAAAGCTGCAAGATGTTAGAGTTTCTCTGCACATTATTTATTTTTTTCAATTATGTTTTTTTACTGCTGAGTGAAGTGTTTTGCTAATTCTTTGTTTGAATGACTCAATGAGTCACACACTCTTAAGAGCTGCTAACCCTAAAAAGAATTTCACTGATTTAGATGTAGGAGGAAAACATAACTCAACATGACTCATGTGTTACAAAGGAGACAATCTAAGCTCCTTTCACCACACTGCATGTGGAAAATGCAGTGGGTATTACACTGTGGGTGTTACAATTACACTCACCCTGGACTCAGGACCTATGTTATTGGCATATTGGAAAACAGCAATAATACTAATGACAAAATAGCTTGAAACACACCACTCACACACAAAAAGCGAGCAAACTTGAGGTGAGTAAAACATGAATAAAAGGATAAAAACATTGAGTGGCCTGATGATTAAAGCCTTCATAATTCTTGACTTGAAAAGCTGAAATGACCTCAAGGTTGTCAGTGGCGTTTCTGTAACCAGACACATCTGCCAGACCACATAACATAAGCAGATTCCCAGGAAGGACTTTTTGAGGTTTGAATGGCAAATATTCCTGATGGAAGACTGTAACTCGTGTTAATATTATAGTTCATTGCCATTTTAGATCCATATACACAGGATTATGCAAACAACAATCTCCTGCTACTATTACAAGGAAATTCTGGCATAATTATGGTAAAATACTATGTTTACATTGCACGGTAAGATAAAGTAATATAAGGTAATGACATGTTGACAGGACAGAAGCCATACATTTCTGCTCAAAATCAATGAATGCTCTATCTTTTATGGTTTTTATTTTAGAGCTACTTGAAACAGAATTATGCAGACAATGATCTTCAGCAGCCATCCATGGGTGGTCTGTTTTAAAAGGTTAAGATTTGAAAGGATTCAGACAAAAAGAGCAAATTTGATATTGGATTCAGACTTGCATTTGGACGGCGCCTTTCTAGTCTTCCGACCCCACAAAGCTCTTTGCACTACATGCCACATTCACCCATGCACATACACATTCATAGATGGCACAGGCTGCCATGCAAGGTGCCAGTCTGCTCATTAGGATCTAACCTAATTTGTGATCTAATCATTCACACACACATTTGCACACCAATGGCACAGCCATCAGGAGCAAGTATATTGCCCAAGGACAATTTCAACATACAGACTGGAGATCAAACCGCCGATCTTCCAAATAGTGGACAATCTGCTCAACCCCCCCGAGCCACAGACCTCAATAAATTGCTACTAAATTCAAACCTATGTAACCTCAAGTTACTTAGGATTATAAGGAAGAGAAGTGTCAGTTTAATTGCAGTTATATGTCTCAGTTTGGACAATGTCTTTCATTTTCTAAAGATTCTGTATGTATGTGGAAGACTTACCTGACATTAAGAATAGCAGCGTAGGCCTCACTGCCAGCTAAGACATAACTAATTCCAATAGAAATGCTGGGGAAAGAAGAAGAGAAGAGAAAGAAAAAAGGAGAAAAGAGAGGTTGTTAGATCATCTTTTGTCCTGGTTACTTGTCATCTCTAACAATAAAGTCAAAAGTTAAACAAGCACTCCTCTGTTGTATTAAACATTAGGATGTTGCCTCATCATAACACCCGAGGCTATGAACAGCTAAGAGATTTAATTTTAAAATCATTTTTTGTTTGCAGCGCAGTTCCCTTGATCCTCAACAACTTCTCTACTTCAGATTTCCTCAAAACAAGTTGCCTTTGGGGGCTACTTAAAGCAAATGCTTTGGTTGTATACATTTCGTATGTGCTTTGAGCATCACACACTTATATCGAGCCAGAAATCTGTTTGGAAAATGTTGTGCCTTCACAAAGAAGCTGGATGTTGCTTAACAAAATGAGTGTTTTTACAGTAGGCTTCAATCCAAAGTGAATGACAAGACAAGGTTTTTGTAGCTCAACATCTGTTCCGTTCCTTATAACTTTAAGCCTCAGTAATCTCTCAACAGTTGGTTGTTGAGAGTGCAAATCCATTAGCAGATTCTCCAGACAGCTAAGTGTTATTTTGGAGAGCTGAGTTACACCCACACTTTCAAATCTCCTCGCTTTTAAATCTTAAAAGGAAATACCAACAAATTTAGGAAGTTTCATGCAGGCCAGTCCTCTTGTATTCAGCAGTCTGAGCCACATTTTAAAACAAGAATAACTTTCCAAAACAAAGAACAGAGAATGTGTGATGTCAGGGAAGCTATGAGATGATTCAAACTCAAGATATGAACTATATTTTAATGTAACTAAAATCATCAGGGATTAAGCGCTTAATTTTTGCTCATTTGGATAGAATCTCTGACTCTCTTGAACTCTCTGGCTCTCAAGAATCTCCATTATAACAGGGCTACCTGCCTGAAAGTGTGTCTTTAACTGATGATGGCTTGTCTTGAGTGATAGGTCATAGTGATAACAATAGGGTGCATCCTCTGACACATCAGTAGTGAGCTTACTGTATCCTTTCATCACAGCAGTGTCCCAAGGAAGATTTTGGTTTGTCCTAAACACATTTTCTAATGTCCTCTGGACGTCGGGATGCTGGTTGCTGCTAGACATCTTGTCACACAACACTGAGATCACAAAGCCCATCTACCAAACAGTTGTTGTATTCTTCTTGTACCTGTCCATTAATTCAAGTCCCAAACTCTGCTTTTTAGCCTGTGCAAAACCAATGTGACACAGCGAAAAAACATTGGCCACGGCCATCAGTGAACGTCATCTTATTTTCTGATAGGTTGATGGCAGTTAATATAGTGAATATTGGCTGATAACGATGCTCAGCCAATAAATCAGTGCATCCCTAACAGAAAAATGTTGTTCTCCCTGGTCTCGTGCACAGACATGAGTTGAGTCTCATAATGCACACTTGTTTTAGGGGGAGACAGGTGGGTACACTGGTGGCCATACCCTGGAGAGGGTCCATCTCGGACACAGCTCAGCACAACTTGGTGTGGTTAAACTAGTAATAATAATGCAGATCCACAGAGAATGGTTTGACTCAGCATGGCCAAAAGTGCCAATTGAAAAGCCCCATTTATGTGCATCTGTGCTGCTTTATTGCCCTCCCAGACCCCTTTTATATCTCTAGTGTAACACCTAAAATTGACCATCAGTATGGGGTGTGAAAGTGCACTACTTACTTATTTTCTGGGAGACAACAGGACTGCTGAGCTCATGTCCACACATTACTATTGGTCAATAACATACACTATCCAATGCCAACAAGTAAAAACCATACCAAGCATTACTGCAAACTCTAAACCTAATCTGTGTGAAGCCTGATACTAAATCTAATAGGTAGAAAGCAGAATGGCAGTGTAAGAGTTAACCCACATTGATACACACTCTCACATAAATGTTACCAGCATGCTTGTGCAAAGACCGTAATTATATACAACATCTTTGAGAGTGATTCCAAATGATCCATCAACACAATACATACAGATGGATGACAAATTAAGGGAAGTTAAAGTTGTCAACCATGACCCTCCAGAACAACTTCAGTGCTCCTTGAGACAGATTCTCCAAGTTCAGTCAGGGGAAATAACATCAAGGAACTGAGTACTTATAGCAAATGGTTACACAGTTAGATCTGGCAAAAAAAGGCACTGCTCTTTGATTCTTTGAGGCAGTTCTCAAAGAATCTACACATCTGCATGAAGATTCTCTCTTTAACAAACATAGCTACTGTACATGAAAATTAAGATAAGTTTTCGATAAAGTTCAGTAAGGACAGCAAAGATCTTTGTAAATGTTTTGGACATTTTACCTTCATTCCTCTATGGAAGTATTTCGGCTATTTTCTGCTGTGTTATCCACTCATTAGAGAGAATTTCCCTTTAATTTATCACCATCTGCATGTGTGAATGTGTATGTAAGCTGGCTTAGTGGGGCAGAATAAAGTACAATAGTTTTATGGTTTCATTCTCCAAACTTTAATTATGAATAGTTAGATATATTACATTGAAGCAGGTACACCTAATACATACACACAATTTTATTGTGTATTAATTATGTGCAACTATTTCATTTGTCATCAGCAAACAATTTGTTTTGGTATCTCTAACTTCTCTATTGGTCACTTTGAATTATGTGCATTCACTGAATTCTCTGTGTGTATATTTGCATGTTTCTTTGTGCTACATACGGTGTGAGTGTGTCATTGTGTGTGCTGTACAACAGCTCCACCATGTAGGGCAGTACATAAAGACCAAGGGGTGGCAAGGGTAAAAGATACAGGTCATGTTTTGTGTGTGTGTGTGTGTGTGTGTGTGTGTGTGTGTGCGTGCGTGCAGTGAAGCCTCTGCATTGATCGACCACTAAGCCTCCTTGAACACAATGAGGGAACTATCGATTGGCCAGGTGTTACAGAGCTGCTCGCACACTGATAACAAGACCTTCCACGAGCAATACTAAAAGCTCTGTCCCTCTGTGCCCGAAAGGACACACACATCAAAAAATACACACATCCACACAAACCCCTGTCGATGCCGCAAACATATCATACAAACAATACCGGACAATACTGATTTATGCTACACAAAAAAAACAAAAAAACAAAAATGATGACAATATTAATAATAATTACAAAGGCTGAGGCGATATACTTATCTCCTGATTCACTACTATCCTGATACTTGGGTGCAGATTCAATATCTATTGCAATTTTTGAGTATTGTGATTGTTTTACGCTCTACCTGTCACATAAATGTAATTTTTATGTACTAATACTATCAACTTCATCTTTTTTATTACTGATGTGATCCGACTAACTTTAATGTCCTTTCTTTTATTCACTTTGTTCTGTATAAGTCTAATTTTTTTTCTTTTTTGTTTTCTTTGTTTGTGAGACTACATTGTCATGTCATGTTGTCATCTGTGCTATGTGTATTATTATTTGCCTATAATTAATAATAGAAAAACAAGTATTAGGATTAAATTTTACTGTGAATTGCGTTTTTAACACTAGACCATGGGAAAAGTTGAAATCATTCACTTCTAGAAGCTGTATATCATGAGACATAATCACAAAAACATTGCACATCTCATGTCAATCAGTATTTCTGACTTAAATGTCCGCAGCATCTGCATATAGAAGTGGTAATAAATCAATGTTTAGTGTGTTTATGTAACAGTTTTAATCCAGTTAAGCAGTGTGACCTTGCTCTGTGAAAGGTACTTTATTATATATACTTCACTTACTTATTTACTAAGATGTTTGTACAATAGTGAAAAAAAATCTATACTTTTTAAAGTAAACAAACTGCTACATTTATCTACCAGTGATGTAGCAACATTGCAAACACCTGAAACTTCTCCTGTGTGCCAAGTGTGTGGTGGCCAACGTGAAAACACAAAAACTTGAATGGCCATATCTAGGGTCAGTGTCTGGTTTGTCTGCCCTGGGCTACATGGCAGACTCCATGAAAGCAGACCCGCTTTGTTTGTAGATATAACCGGCTGATTCTAAGGTGATGACAACACAATGATTCTTATTTTTAAGTGATTATGAACAAGTAAAAAACAACAGTTATGAATACCATACTACCATCAACCCTACCACAGTTTCTGAATCCAAGTTTCCCTCTTTTGTTGAACTAAGACTAGCGTTGGCTTAGTTGCCTTGTTAACTCCTTGTAAAACACCTCTAATTCACACCTCTGATCACAGACTCGCTTGACTTGATCCAAAGAAGTTAGAGGTGCAAGCACAAGGTATGCATCTAACTTTCCAGCGACAAGGAGAGCCAAATTGAGTTAGCACCCCAGCGTCTAATTCTGCAAGGACCCTGAGTGACTGGCTTCCTCGGATTTGCAACTTTGGAACAAGGACACAACAAAGACTGCTTCTGGAACCACAGGTCTTTCCAGCCTGCCGGTTAACAAAGCAGCACACCACAAAGCAACTCTTTCTTCCATCCATTCAAGGATCGGTAATGTAACAACTGGGCATAGCTTTATCACAGCTGTACAGGCTAAGCAAGACTGTTTAACTTGGTGAATGTGATTTTATGCTGTTTACTGAGTTATTGTTATGATTGTTTGCAGTTAGGTTATTGGTTAGTTGGTTTCGCCAGAGCTAAGTGATGTTAGTTTGCTAATGCTGTTCACAGACAACATATTGCATGCAACTAAACATCCTCTGCATTGATCCAGACCCTATGCACACAAATCACATTCACATACACTCATTAACAAATAGGCTGTCAACAGAGCTACACCCAAAGAGGCAACTCAAAGTTCCCGCTTCTCTTCCTTTGTCGTTGTCCTGACCACACGGTCAGACAAACACCTCCCCCGATCTGAAGCCAGCTTTGATTCGACCATCTTGTAGTTCTCTGTTGTCATCTATTTTGTTTTGTAGGCCAAATGGCTCCTTGATCACCACACCCACCTTTGTCTCTCTCTCTCTCTCTCTCTCTCTCTCTCTCTCTCTCTCTG